AGTCCTACGACAACGCGTCAAATATGTCCGATCTTTAAATCAGGTCTTCAAGCCCGTATGAAAAAATATAAATGCTCTAATTGAATCCATCCCCTGATCTTCTCATTCTTTAAATTTAGTTGGTACAAATGCAGCTGAATCATTCACTGAAGCATGTACTCATTTTCTTCTACAAAATTTGTATAATTTCTTATAGTGCATCTACATCAAGGTGGGACATACTTCAAAATTAAGTAGATGAAGGATCCGTTACATCCCCTTTGAAAAGTCTTTCAATTACGCGCTGGTCAGCTCGAGATGATGCATGTCAGGCTCTAAAACATCGTTGGCAAAATGTTTTAGATGCCCTTCAAATTATATCTGATGATTCTGCGCAAAAACCGTCAATGTGTTCAGAAGCTAAAGGTCTTGTTGCTTTAAATCGACTTGAAACTACTATTATGACCGACGTTTGGGGATTCATTTTAGACCGCTTGAATACGTCGAACAAACAAATGCAAAAAGTCGATATTGATTTAAGTTCCGTGGTTGGTATTTACACTTTGCTTGTAGAACTTTTAAAAACGAACAGTGACAAATTTGAATTTTTTGAAGAGAAGTGTAAGAAGATGTCAAATACTGAAACGTACGAATCTGAAAACAAAAGAAAAAGGAAACGTAAAATGCAACGTGATGAAACTTACGAGAATGCAGCAGAACTGACCGCATGAGACAAGTTTATATTATACATTTATTTGGTTATTGTTGATAAATTACTTGCAGAATTGAATAAGAGTCTTAAAGCGAATAAAGATGTATAAGACAAATTTAAGGCTGTCATTGAAATAGAAAAATTAACTTTGATAGATTTGGAAAAAGCAGCGATATATTTATGTTCACAATTTCCCCAAGATCTTGAAGAATCGCTTGTTTCTGAGCTTGTACATTTAGTTCGTATTTAAAAATCCTTGAAGATATTAAGCCAACGAATCCTGCAGCTTTATTAAAGTGGTAACGGAAAGAAGAATTAGAATGTCTTAATCTTATGAGTCCTATGAAATAATATGCGTCTATGAAATCCCGTGCAGCTGTGGTCTACTTTACATCGGACAAACAGGGCGCACCGTAGAAGAGCGTATGCAGGAGCACATGCGACATGACCGGCTTCAACATATCCACAAATCGGCCTTGGCACAACACGCCGCCGAAACGGGTCACCTGGTCAATTACCACGAAACCCACACCATAACAGAAGACTGGTGGTGACCTCGTTTAATCAAAGAGGCTTTGGAAATCTCTAGGAGGCCCGCAAACCTCAATAGAGATGATGGGCTCCGCTTCAGCGACACCTAGAGACGAGCCGTTGCCCCCCGCCAATCCGGTCCCGCCCCGCGGAGACACCCCTCCGCGGACGGCCAATGACATGGCCGCCCGGTGGACCATCCTTTTTCCGATTTTTTGCCGTTCCCTTCCACACAGACGCATTTCCAGGTGTCTATCCTGTTCAGTTTTCTATTTTCTACCCTTTCGCCCCACTCCCACTCACCCACCTCAGCTGGCCACCCGCCATCGCCCCCTTTCCTTTTCCGCCAATCACGTGACACCCGCCCTCCTCCTATTGGCCGCCGCGGCACCCAGTCGGCTCACGCGCCTTTCCTATAAGATGAGACTTGCCTACCTCCTGGCAGCAGTATAGCTCTGAAGAAGGCCACAGATTCACTAGCAGATTCCAGATTCACTAGCAGTGTGTTGTTGGAGGTTGATTCACTAGCAGTGCCGTGTTGGAGGTTGATTCACTAGAAGTGTACCATCGCCAATCGGTTTAGTGACAATTTTCTTTCTCTCAATTTGGGAATATATTACCAAATTCAGGGACAATCGAATCCCGCTGCGGCACGCAGCAGGACGACTTGGGGCCGGCACCAAAAGAAGACCTGCGTCCCAGAAAAAGACGCCTTTTGACTTCTCGAAGGTGCCAAGGGAAGTATTTCGAGCAGCCTTAGATTGAACACATGGATGCAGTCTCCGCAGGTGATCCACCCGCCATCAACGGATCTCGTAATATGCAAACGGGAGCTGCACCCATCCAGACAGCTAATGACCTGCGTAAGCGGGATCATTCGCCCTCCTCCAACGACGCCTTCCAAACCACCCAAAATCCCTTAGACCAGGGTGACCCCTTTATCCCCTACCCAAAAGTTTTTCGTCCCATCACCCAACCACCTCCTCAAGGCATCCCCCTCAGCAACTCCTTCTCCCCTCTCTCTATTACTGACAACCCAACTACAACAACTCAAAACCTGAACACCCCCTTTACCCAAACATCAACCTCAGACAACAGCACTACCTCCCAAATTAAGACCCCAACCCAAGCTACTGGTACTAGAGCCAAAGTAGGACAATTCCGAATCGACCTTGACTTAGTACTTTGCCCCAACGAACTGACCAAAGACCTGATGCACGACTTCAATGGACAAGCCACTTCAAAATGCTCAAGGACAGAACTAATAATTACACCCAAGACTGTAATGGCACACAATAGAATTCGTGACAGACTCGACACCATCAGGACCAATGACCTTTGACAGCTGTTTTTCCGCCACATTGCATATCACTTCAACAGAGCGACGGACGAGAGAAGCGAAAAGCTCGTAATAAAAGGACTCCCACCAAACCTGCCAACTGACACCATTAGAGACAACCTGACTGCCCACCAACTTTCTGTATTCCACGTTGCCGAGATGCAGAAACGCGACGCTGACGGACAACTGACTCCACTGGGAATCTACACAATCGAGATTCCACGACGAGACATTACAAAATTGAAACAAACTGTCAAGTACATAGGACATTACAGCATCAAACTGGAAGACTATAAGCCGACTGACCGAGTACCACAATGCAAAAATTGTCAAAAACTTTACCACACCAAAACTTACTGCAGACGACCAACCACCTGTGCCCTCTGCTCTGGAACCACGCCACAGAAAAATGCCCTAACGCCCAGACAGACAACTTCATCCCGACTTGCTGCAACTGCAAACTTAACCACCCTGCTTTCGACCCCATCTGCCAATATATTACCAACGCCCGTACCCTCCGAAACACACAACTCCAAAAATCCACCTCAACGCCAGTAGCACCCCGTAATGTACAATCCACCACCTCCTTTCCTCACCTCCACCCACAAACACACTCCTACTCTTCAGTAACCTCCAACACACAATCACTAAACACCCCACCAACCTCTTCTCAAGACCTCACCGACCTTTTAAACCGACTCCTGAACCTTTTAAAATCATGCGACCTAAAGAAAATCTCATCCTCAATCACCCCAATCATCACCTTCCTCAAAGGCCCAGGAGACATCCTTACAAAATTAATCCAAGTCGCCATTAAATTAGTTGAAATTTTTAACTAAATGGCTAAGTCCCCACGTTTTCTCACCCTCTCATCCTGGAACGCGCGAGGCGGAATAAATTCCAAAAACCCCTCCTTTCCCAATTCCTAAAAGACTACTCCGTCGGGATCCTATGTCTCCAAGAAACATGGTTAAAACCCCCGATACCTTTCTCCATCCCCAACTTCACAGTCCTCCGTACCGACCGACTTACCACTACCAACGGCGGTACGGCGATCCTTATCCGCAACCACATTCCCCACTTCACCTACCCACTCTATTCAAGCAATACTTTTTTTCAAATCGCCGAAACCCGTCCCTTCCCCCTCTTCTTATTAACCAACAACCTCTCCACTGGCAAGAAAAAATCAAATACTTAGGCCTCCACTTCTCCCGACGCCTCCAATGGACCCCACACATCCAAGAAACCACGACCAAAACTCATAGACTAATCAACGCACTCCTCCCTCTCTTCTTACATCACCTACTTCCTACCAAAAGACTTTACTACACTTACATCCGCCCAATCATTACCTTCGCTCACCCGACCTCGTCATGCACTTCCTACACCAACTACCTTCAAATCACCAGACTAGAAAATAGAATTATCAAACTTATTTTCAGACCTCCCATCTACACCCGACTAAACGACATTCGTACCTTTCACAACATCCCCCACATAGCAACCTACATCCACACCTCTGCACAAAATAGCATTCGTAACTTCCTCTGATCCTTCATACAATCACCTACTCACTTCCCATCTGCCTATACTTGCAAATCCACCAAGACGTATAACCAAAAAACACCCCCTCGACATTCTTCAACTACCACCACCACCACCCACTTAACTTCAGAGGGCCCAAAAGACAATAATAATACTTACAGACAAGCTACTAAACTACCATACGACTAACTAAAAGACAACGCCATTACATACAGACAAGCTACAAAATTACTATAAGACTCACTAATAGACAACAATATTACTTGCAGGCAAACTATTAAATTACCAGCAAGTCCGCAATATCAATAACCAAAACAAAAATTCCGTTTACTTTTTCACACTTTTCTTTCTTTCTCTTAACTTTCTGTCTTCCCCTTCTCCTCTCCTTCCGTCTTTCCACCCTCCACTTTAATCAAAATAACCCGTCACACCCTAACAAAATAAACCCATCCCTTATTCACCCACCCTGCTACCCAATCCCCGTCTTGTATGGGGGAGAGGCGCAACATAATCCAAGAGCAAACCAAACCAACCACAAAATGGAATGAAGAGCCCCAACCGGGGCAGGCATTCCGAACCAACACAACGCCTTCTCTCTCTCGAAGGCCACAGCAAGATGGCCGAAACGTCAGTCCATTTAACTGAGACGCGGTTCATCCCGGATAGCCAAGAATACAAATTTGATGTGCCTACAGGCAGCAAAAATATTAATCTGCCCATGGTAAAGAGCCTATTTTTTGGTGATTTGTTAGTGTTTAATTTAACTGAATATAAAGTCTGAATACTACACATACAAAAAACCATCAAATGTTTAAAATAATTTCCAAAAGATTAATTTTTTAGGTGTCCTCAGTTAATGTTCACTGAACAACATAACACTCTCCAATTGTTTTTTAAGTTTCTCATGAAATTTGATCCAAGTTTACATGAAATACTTCTGAAATGATTGTGTGTTTTTCAAAAACAATTGTAAATTAATAATTTTAAATTCTTAAGTAGAAACTGAACTGAACTGAAAAACTGATTATCAGGGAAGTGATAAAGGTAATTAGTAAGCTAGTTTTATTTTAAAATGTTTCTTAAATCTTAATGAACGTGTGAATGTTGAATATGGTACTCTAAAGTGAATTCATTTCAGGTACCGTGCAGAGGTAAGTGGAATCTATAACGTGGTAGGATTCGTGGGTGGCTGGATCAGGTCTTTTTTTCGGCTGGGTGAATTATTGGGAAATTGCGCGCAGGGATTATGTGTTAAGTATGAGAGGTTAATCTTGCTCTAGGGTATGCATCGGACTTATGTGCATTATATAGAGGCTTAGCGATGCTGTTGTGTGTGGCGACATGGAACGAAAGGGGGCCGTTAGTGATTGCTATTCGCTTAGGGCGGGTCATATTTTCTCAAGTTTTTTGGTTTCTGAATTAGTTCGAATTTTTCAATTTGTGTTTCTTTTGGGAAATGATTGTTATTTTATATTGCTTGGCATTTTATTGAGCGTCGTGATTTGAGCGGAAAGCTTCA